TTATACTCAGTGGAAATTATATGGCTAATTCAATCCAGTAAACATTTATCATATTCCAACTCATTGGAAAGAAGAGAAATCAGGAAAACACAGTTACTGTCTTAAAGAAGTTGATAATCTATCTAACGATGAGAAAGACATAAAAATAACTCTTACAAAGAAAAAATTTTGGTGTATGTTATTAATAGAAGTAGACGGTGTGATAGAAACACGGATGAAAGAGGGTTTTACTTTGCTTTAGGTGAGTGAGTTAGGGGAAAAATTCAGGGGCGGTTACTTCCGGAGGTGAGATAGATACAATTGAATTATGGGACTAAGCTGCAGTTAGATGCAACTGAATTATTGTTCTCGCCCCAGCCCAGCAGCAGAAGCAGGGCAGACTTTCAGAGTAGAATGTACGAAGGCTGAGTGAGGTTAATCATACTTTATTACTCTTCCGATGACACATTGTACCCCTTTACTTTCTTTTACCAAGACTTCATTGACACGGAGGACCTACAAGGAAAATTTAGGGGGAGGAAAAAGCCTTTCTCGTCAATACTTGGAATTTAAGATGGGTAAAAAGGAAGAGTTAGAGTTGCTTTAGAGTCTCTCCATTTCAGTTCACTGGTGGGAAGGGAAAAGCGTTCCCTTCTATCCATCTTGACTAATATATCCTTAAATTTTTAGTGTTTTATGCTTTTCAAATTAGTTTTGATTGCTCATTAAAAATTTATTACTATCTTCCTTCGCCCAGTATCTTGTGGGTTAGAAACAAAACAGAGTCCTAGAGGGTTAGTACTAAAAGGAATCTGGTCTAACCATTTCAGTTTTCAGAGAAAAAACTGAGGTTCAGAGAGAAAAGTGATTTGTCAAAGAGGACAGCCTTTAGACCTGGGAAAGAATGGGAAGAGACCCTGTGCTTCAAAGGGCTCCCTATGCCCTTCTCTGGCCACCTCTAGGAGTGAGGAGTCCACAGGGCAGAGAGGAAGCACTCACCTGGAACCTGTGCCCCACTGCCTTCTCTGTGCCAAACCACGAGTCCCTGGAACCCTGGACTTCCTCCCAAATGGCCCAAAGCCTGGCTCCAAGACCTACGTGGGTCTCTTCAAAGTGTCCGTCCTTCTGAGAGTGGACCTTGCTGTAGATGTGCATACCCCAATGTCCAAAGGGTGGCCAAGGGCTAGCTGTGTGCGGCAGGTGGGTATCTGCTGGGGTGTGTGATCTGGGTGTTCACGTCACATCTTGCAGCCCCTTGTTGTACACGGAGAAGAAAGGGGGCCAGGCTTCAGAGTGGAGGCTGGAGACTAGCTCTTCCTGCGCTCATATTCCAACGTAGTTTTCTGAGGAGCGGAAGAACTCTAAGTTTAACGTTGAATTGTCAAGGTAGGAGGATAGAATGTATTTTATTTAACAGTTTGCTAACTTGATTTATAAATGTAAATATTTAGACCAGCAGTTCTCAAAGCTTTTGGCCTCAGGACCGCTTTATACTCTTAAAAATGACTGAAGACCCCGAAGAGCTTTTGTTTACATGGATACTATTGGTATTTGTCACTTTAGACATTAAAACTAAAAACTCTAAAAAATGTTTACTTACTTAAAATAACAATTAAGGAACCCATGACTGTTAATAGAAATAACATTTTTAAATTAAAAACACTGTATTTTTCAAAATAAAAACTTAGAAAGAAGAGTGGTATTATTTTTCATCTTTACAAACCTCTCTATTGCTGATTTAGAAGACAGCTGATTTCCCCTATCTGATTCAGCGCTCAGTCCACCGTAACGAGTAGTCCTGACCAAAGTGCTGGAAGAAAATCTGCCTTCACGTAGATACAGAGTAGGAAAAAGAAAGAATATTTTAATAACCTTTTCACATAAGTGTCCATATTCTTCTTGCTTCTGCACCAAAACGACGAGTGGTAATTTCTTAAAAGTTTTTTGCACTGTGAATTCTGAAACCATATCAAAGAAATTCAATACTTTCTTACATTAAAATCCATTAGTCAACCTTGCACTTTGAATGGTTGCTTTGCCCATGCATGACTTTGATCTTTTGGAAAATATTGGTTCACTGAGTTAGGCAGATCTTCCAAATATTGATGTATTTCCTTATAAAATATTTTTTAAAATCCCTTTATATCACCAGTCATCTCATCAGAAAAGTTGTTAAGTATTAGAAAGCTCATAGTGGCAGATACAAGTTTTCCAAAATTTTAATTTTCACTTCAAAGTTCCAATATCATCTTTGGCAACAAATGCTGTCGGTTGCTTTCCATGAAGCCACAAGCTCATTTGGTTCATTTCTGAGAAAACGTCTACCGAATACCCAAGTCTGAACTGCCATCGTTTGTGTGTCAGGAAGGAAATACTAAAGATCAGAGCAGAAATAAATGAAATGGAGACCAGAAAAGCAATAGAAAGGATCAACAAAACTCAGAGCTGGTTCTTCAAAAGAAGGTAAAGGCAGAACTTTTTAAATTAAATTTTGGTGATATTCAGAAAAAAGGAATAAAGTGCAGTGCTCCGAGCATGAGCTCCTCCAGGCTCATGTTGCCCTACCCAAGGAACAAGGCTCTGCCCAAACCAGACCTCTGCCCCATGTTCCTTTGCATGATCCTGCCCTGCACCTGCAGCTTTGTGATGGGGTGTTCATTCCCCTTGCCTCTACCTTCTCTCATTTCCCTCCTCACCGCTAAGACTTTCGTTCAGATATACGTCATCTCCTTACTTGTTTTCTGGTTTTGACTTTTACCCTCTTATGCCAGTTCTACCAGAGATGTCTTTCAAAAACACAAATCTGACCTTGTGGCTACCAAGGTTCAAATTCCACAACAGCCTCCCAGCACTTGCAGGGAAAAGCCCATGTTCCTTAGCCTGGTATGTTTGATAATTGCTTGACCGTAGAGACTAATCTGCTGTTTTATCCCACCCTACCTCGTGGTCTAAACGTCGTGCTGTCCCCTGAATGCCTGGACAGTTCAACACCCTCTGCCTTTCCATGGGATGTTTCCTGTGTGAAATATTTTTTCACTCATGTTTATGCATTTGCAAACATCTGACTATTTTTCAGAACTTGGTACAAGAGTCGCATCCTTGTAAGCTGTGATGTTGTGGTATAATAGAAAATAGAAAATATTTATTGGCCTTTGTCACTGGTTCCCGGCACAGAGCTCCTAAAACCTGTATGATTTCCTGAGCAATAGGACTGATAGAAGCATCTTTTTGTTTAAAGATTGGCACTGAGCTAACATCTGTGTCAATCTTCCCCCCTCCTTTTTTTCTTTCTTCTTCTCCCCAAAGCCCCCCAGTGCACAGTTGTATATTCTAGTTGTAGGTCCTTCTAGTTATGCCATGTGGGACGCCGCCTCAGCATGGCTTGATGAGCGGTGCTAGGTCTGCACCCAGGATCCAAACTGGCGAAACTCTAGGCCACTGAAGTGGAGTGCACAAACTTAACCACTTGGCCACGGGGCTGTCCCTACATCTTTTCTTCTAATATTTGGTCTTTGCTCCTGCTTCCTCACACAGAGATCCTTAATTCCTTGGAATTTCATAAGTGATCAGAGCATTCTTTGTTCTAATGAAGGGGATCTTTGCAAGTCCCCAGATAGTTTCAGAATAGAGGCTGGTTACCAGAAAGACCAAACCATGATTAGAAAGTTGGTATTTTCAGTCCCACTCTGCAAGCTCCACATAGAGGAGAGGAGATAGAGAGATTGAGTTAACAATCAATCATGCCTGTGTGACAAAAGCTCCATAAAAACCTCTAAAGGATAAAGTTTAGGGAGCTCCTGAGGTGAAGAATGCATCCTCGTGCTGGGGGAATGGTTCATCCCAACTCCCTGGGGATAGAGGCAGCTGTGCTTGGGATCCTCTTGGACCTTGCCTTATGGATCTCTTCATCTGGCTATTCCTTTATATCCTTCATAGTAAACTGGTGATAGTAGGTAAAGCACTTTCCTGAGTTCTGTGAGCCATTGTAGCAAATTATCAAACATAAGGAGGGAGTTGTGGGAACCCCCGATTTATAGCTGTTTGGTTAGAAGTATGGGTCGTAAGCTGGAACTTGAGATGTGTCTGACGTGGGGTGCAGTCTTGTGGCTCTGAGCCCTTAACCTGTGAGGGCTGCACTAATTCTGGGTAGTTGTGTCAGAATTGTAAGTGAATTGTAAGACACACAGTTGGCGTCTGGAGAGTCGGAGGATTTGTTGAGTGGCAGAAAAAAACCCCAAACATTTGGTGTCAGAAGTGTTGTGAGTAGAAACAGATCACAGGGGCAAACAACTGACCATGACCTGTGCCCTCAACTGTACTGATCCTCAACTACTATATGCACCCTTGTGGTACCTTATGAATTTGCTTGACGCTTTGCACCCACCAGACTGTGGTATCCTTGATCCGTGTAGAGATGTGACCAGTTTTTGTAATCCCAGGATGAGTACACAGTAAGTACTGAGCAAATTGTTTTTAAATAAGTAAATAGTATCAAATACTTTTCTGATTTTCATGGAGTTATAGGCTGAAGAGTAGAAGTCAAAATATCTAAAGGACGTAGAGGAGAAAAATTGAAGATAAATTTGAATGATTTCTTAATTTTGCCAAATTTCCCCAGGTGGGTGCCTTTCCTTTTATGTGACTAAACAGAGGTTCCATTGTGTAGCGTCGAGGTGTGTGAATTATGAGGAGCAGGCTGTGAGCCTTGAGGTACATGTCAACAATCTGAACAATTTAAGAATTTGACATTACTTTGCTTTTTACAGCATAGTTCACTTTGCTAAGAGAAGACTTGGCACTGAGGCATTCTTATATGGATGGGATCAACTTTTGAAGACTGATAGGAGGGCCAGTGGAGAGCCTGGATGTGCTGAGATGTATTGGGGAATATGCCTGACGGTCCAGACTGTTTCTGTAAAGTAAAAGTAAAGATGCCAACCTTTTCTTAAGAAAGTGAATAGATGATTTGAGGAAGAATTCATAGTTAATTATATGGAATAAATGAGGAGACAGTACATCTATTCATGCCAATAATGAAGGATAAACACAACTGTTGCTGACTATCACGTTCCAGGTTAGAGCCAGAGAAGTCGAACATTGATGGATCAGTTCTGCGTGATGATCCTTAAGTGTTAGGAACTGAGACGGCTTATTATCACAATTTCTAGACAGGGAAACTGAGCCTTAGAAGAAGAAGTTGGCTTATTAAATAAGGGTCACACAGCAAATTCATGGCAGCTCCAAGAAGACAGCCCAAGTCCTTACATCAGACTCTGTTCGCATGTGCCTTACTGTCTCCTTAGTCAGGGTGCTGTTCTCTCCAACCAGCTGGAGCCCCAGGAGGCATGAGACCAACTCACAGGATGTTCCTGAGGCAACTTCTAAATTTGTATTTAGATGACAGCCTTGGAAACCCAAGCAGAAAACCAGCAGAACAAGACAACACCTAAATCTAAAGGCACTCACCTAGTGGCAAAGCAGCTACATTGTTTCAGATAATGATGATAACTTCTGCTTGTAATTTCCCCTGTGAGACCCCTTCTTTAGGAAAAAATCCTTTGTAGTACATTTCATGTGGCTGAAAATGACAGGCAGATAGACAGTGTGTCTTCTCAGACTCAGCTTTGTGAAATGTTGCCTTAGTTGAGCTGTCTCAGACATAATTTCTTTTAATTCCTCCAACAAACCTTACACACTAGATTGTATTTATCCCATTTCAAATAGGAACACAGGTGGAAAAATGGAGATAGAGTGCCCTTGGAACTGAGATCCCAGCAAACAGGTGAGTCCCAGTTCAGAGGGGCTTCACCTCTATAAAGAAGGCCATATGACCTAATTAGTTGTTGGAGGTTGAATTGTGTCCCCAAAAAGACATGCTGAAATCCTTACCCCTGGGACCTGTGAATATGGCCTTAGTTGGAAACAGAGTCTTTGTAGATGTCATCAGGTTAACATGAGGTCAGACTGGATTAGGGTGGTCCCTAGTCTAATATGACTGGTGTCCTGATAAGAAGAGGGAAATGTAGACACAGGGCCATGCAGGGAGAATGCCATATGATGACGGATGCAGAAATTGGAATGATGTGTCTACAAGCCAAGGAACATCAAAGATCGCCAGCAACCATCAGAAGCTGGACGAGACAAGGAATGATCCTCTCCAGAGGCTTCAGGGAGCGCATGGACCAGCTGACACCTTGATTTCAGGCTTCTAGTGTCCAGACTGCAAGAGAATAAATTTCTGTTATTGCAAGCCACCCAGTTTGTATTTTGTTATGGCAAAATTAATACTAATATAGGAAATTAACGTATCAGTATATTCTTTTGAGATGTTATTGGATGGGGAATTGCAGCTGGTCCTTAGGCTGGGATGATCATGCCTCTACTAAGTGGGAATTGAGAACCAGTAGAGCTTCTGGCACCTAGTAGACAAAATTGAAGCTCCATACAAGGTCCTTTAAGATCTGACTCTGACTCCTAATTACCTGTCTAGCTTCTTATCTCGACCCTCCCTTATGCTCCAGGCACACTGAACTAACCATGCTCTCCAAACAGGTGACACTCTTTCAAACCCCCAAGACATGACACACACTGTCCACTCTTCTCGGAGTGCCTGCCTCTTCATGTGTCTACCTGGAGAGTGCCTTCCTACTCTTTAAGCCTCAGCTCAAGCATCGCCAACTCTACGAAGGCGGCTTCCCCTGACTTCCTAGGCAAATACTCCATTCCCTATGGGTCCGTTGCAAAGTTATCACATCATTTTGTAACGTTTCTTATCCTTCTATCCACTATACTAGTGTTTCTTAACTTTTGTCTTAATATCTGCAAAGGGCTCTAAGGAAAGAAAGACGGTCAGAGTCTTCTCAGAAACAGGCTTGTGCACTAGACCCACCCCTTTAACTGAAGACTGGGTACAAGTCAGTGAACTGACTTCCACAGGTCAAGGACACACACAATATTACCCAGCTCCTGAGGATCTGTAGGGTGTCTCTAACTCAGGGTTCTCAATCTAGACGCTATTGCTATTTGGGGCAGGACAACTCTTTGTTAAGGAGGATGTTTATGTGCTTTGCAGCATGATTTGCAGCTCCCCTGGCCACTACTCACTAAAGGTCAGTAGCATCTCCTCAGTTATGACCCACCCCAAAGTGGCTCTATATGATGCAAATATCCCCTGTGGGGCAAAACATCCTGGTTGAGAGTCACTGGTCTAAATGGATAGACACAGTGGGTAAAAAGCCTGACAGTACAGTCAGAGAAAGACGATCTCTATATGACTCCACTCATAGGTGGAAATTAGTATATTGAGAAGGAGATCTGATCGGTGGTTACCAGGGAAAAGGGGGGGTGGGGGGAGGGTACGAAGGGGGAAGTGGTGTACCCACAACATGACTAACAAAAATGTACAACTGAAATCTCACAAGCTTGTAATCTATCATAACATTAACAAAAAAAAAATATTAAAAAAAAAAAAAAAAAAAAAAAGCCTGACAGTAGACTGAAACAGGGCCAGGGGATGAGCTATGGCCCTTCCAGATCTTAAACATATAAGCCCTCCTTATAAGACAGCATGGTATAACAGAAAGAATATAGACTTTGGGCTCATCCAGCCCTGAATTAATATCCCGGTTCTGTTCCTCACTAGCCAGTGTGTGATTCTGCATTTGTTTTTAACCTCTATGAGCCTCAGCTTCTCCTCTGGGTTATTGAGACGATGGGCCATCTGAGAAAACATCCAAAGTGCCTGACTAAAGACCTGGCACATAGTGGGTTCTCAATAAAAATCTGTTCCTTTCATCTTTTCTGTCGTGTTGGGGGTGGATGCGATAGTAAGCTCATGGAATCTGATACTCTGTCTAGCAACATTCTCCTGGGATGAATAAGCAACTCAAGGAGAGAGTTCTCTATTTCCGGGGTGGAAAAGGGGTAGGGTGGGGAGGGTAGTAGTGCCTGATTGGGTAGGTGGGGATGCCAGGCATTAGAAACAGAAGCAAAAGACCTTTCGAGAGCCTTGGAAAATGACAATCTGAGTCAGAGGGAATTAGAGCAACAACATCGAGATGCATTTAAATTTAATTTAAAAGGAAAAAACCAAGGCACGAGCGAGCATTGTTCCCATAACATGCCCTCATAATTCTCCGACAAGCCTAGTTTGAGGTTGTGCGTGTGTCTCACAGTCCCACATATTCTTCTTTTGTCACATTTGCACTTGCTTTGGAGCCTGCCATATGGTGCCACTCACTAAAAGAGTTTTGGGGGCAGGTGCTAATCAAAGACACTGCCACCATCATACCCACACACCAGATACACAGGCGTGTGTGTGTATGCACGCTCTACCCCAAGGGAGAATTGTTATATTAAGCAAGACCTGTGAGCACAAGGCCCAACAACAAAGTGGTAATCATTGGGAAATGACTGCATGAAGCCACACAGACTTACTGCTCTACTCACCTAATTATTCTGCCCTTGAGATGGTTTTGTTTAAAGTTACTACGGTAAGAGCAACGTTGCCATAGCAACCTGCTGCTGGATGTTGTTCGGTATCTCCAAGCAGACTAAATCACTCACAATTCCCATCAACAATGCTCTAGTGGCATAATTTCTAATAGCTTAGTGCATTTGCCCACTTGCTCTCTGTAAAGAAGAAAAGAAAGAAACTGGATGGCCCTTGTGAAAAGGTCTCTGCCATTTCTATATGGGTCTCTAAGTCGACTTCAAAGAGACCACATTTCAGATAGCAACAGTGAATCATCAGAGCGCTGGAGGTGGAGTCAGAAGATCCGGACTCCAGTCATAGTCGTAATGACTTGTTAGTAATTACTCAGTAATTATTATCTTTAACAATTCCTTAACTTCACCTATCTGAATCATATTTTCCTTATTTGAAAAACAGGTGTAAGATTGTTTTCCTTCCGCTCATCCCTCTCCCAGCCAACAACTTTCTGTGAGGGCTACATAGGAACACGCATGGGGAAGAACATGGGCACTGTGCTGGGCCAGGAGACAAGAGGTGGGTTTTCAGGGATTTGAGCCAGTTTTCAGAACTTCCAAGGCATGGCTCATGCACGCATCTTGATTTCCTGGGGGTCTGTAAAGATCTCTCACATTGTGTTGGTTGTAACCTTTTGTAAAAGCCATTTATTCCCTTCCTGATTATTAGGTAGAGAGAATTCTGACCTAGAGAATAAAATTTCATATAAAATGAGAAGAGCCCCAGGTTGTTTCCTTGGATAAATAGTCAAACAGTAATGAAATTCCTTTTCAAAGATTTCCAACAGCAAACTCATCTCCATTTTCTCCCAAGGGAGGGAGAGAATAAGACATTTCCTTGATCAAGATGTGAAATCATGTTGGAAACTGAAAAAAACATTGCGAATATGTGAGGGGCAACTGGTCTCTTGACACAAGCAGTTTCTGCCTTCATAGATTTGAAAGGGCTAGAATACAGTAGGTGCTCAATAAATGCCTATTCTGTGGCTGGATAGCAGTAATAGGGGCAGAGGTAGGGAGACAGGTGTCTAGGTTAGCCAGGAGGAATGGAGGGCTTGGATAAAAGTGGAGTGTGCAAAAAAGAGGGAGAAGAGGAACATTTCTCCCACGGCAGCACTTTTTCTTTCCATCCCACCCTTTACCCAACATGACAGGTCAGAAAGACAAGGAACAAAAATGATAAAAATAAAACTGGAATTAATAACTGCCACCTCTAGATTTGGGTAGGATAGTAACTTTGCTGCTGAAGCTATGATAGGATTTAAAACAGAAACCCAGAATAGCACCAATGTTGAGACATTTGAGGTTATCAGAGCTCACAGTCTGAAAGTTTCCTCTTTCCCTTTATATCATTATTTATACGTGTTGATTTTTGAGACTAGAAGCCCCATCTTCTTTGTCTCCACATCAGCCATGACACTTGACCCTAGACTTTTCACTTAGAATTAGGCCAAAAATGTAGTTAATAAAGGCCTCATTTTCTAATTACCTGAAATTTAATATGAAAAAATCCCAGCTATAAGACTTATCACCAAAAATCTTTCTAAAGTGCATTAGTCCACTTTCTGCCTTAAGGGGAAAAGTGTGAAGAGCGTAATTGAATCTCTGGTGACTCAGCAGCTCATGGGAACATGAGCTGGAACATTAATTCTCATTTATCTGCAGTAGGGTCGTCAGGAGGCGGGGCTAAGGGCCCAGAGAGAGAGCTTGGGCCCACTGTGTGCTGATGTTAGATCCTACCTGGAAGCTTTTAAAAATAGATCTTTAATGTAACTATTTCCCCTATAAGTTGACTTTTCCTCCTAAAAGTTGAATACTGCTTCAACAATACAACAGAAATTTGGTGTGTAGAGTTCAGCCGCAAATCTAAGTTTTACTTGCCCATTTTCCTCCTCCAGTTAATAAGTATAGTCATTCCTCTTCTATCCAAATAATGCAGTCCTTACACCTCACACTGTAACACCTATGAGACTCTGTAGGACAAATCTACATAGCATATACTGAGACGCACTGTCAGTCTTTCTCTGTTCATCCTATACTCACCCAGCTTCCAATTAATTTTCCTAGAACACAGGCCTCTAGGCCACCCACTCTACTTTCTCAGGACAGGACACTTTTTAACAGGTGAGCCAGCCCATCTTCCCATGCCCCTTTGAAAAGAGTTCTGTCCCAGTCCCTGTAGTTCTCAGGCTTTTGTGAGGTAAAACCAGGTACCAAGAGCTTCAACTGCTAAAGTAGAAGCAAAGAGAAGAGGGGAATAGATCAAAGCTTATGAGACATCTGAGTTTCTGAGGGAAGGTGTGAGTGGAGTAGAGGAAGAGTCCAAAGCTTCTGAAGACGTCAGACAAGAGGATGGGAGAAGAAGCAGGAACTTAATAAGTGCAGCTGTTGGTTATGAATTGGCAATATTTACAATCAGAATTAACTTTTGATCATTTTTGCTTGATTTTCTGTAGACGTTTGAATGTGGCACCAAGAGGGACCCTGGGATTAATTCAAGTTATGCTGTATTTCTCAAAATCCTCGTCATACTTCAAGGCCTGCTTCAAATGACACATCCTCTATGAAATCCTTCCTGTTTGTTTCTAAATGGATATGATCTTAATCACTCTCTTGCTTTCTCTTTCAAAGCCCCTTTACATTTTGTCCCTCTCTTGTGACACTAATCTGACACTATTTTGTATTATGTTCTATTTAACATTACTTTTAATTTCTTCCTGTTATAAGACTGAAAGTGCCTGAGAGGACAGATTGCAATTTTCTCATCTTATAGTCTGCACTATAAAACTGTTGAATTGAATTTCGTTAAAATGAGCAAAGGTAAATTCTGATGCAATGGGAGTCTTTTGCAGGTCCTCTTAAACTGAAGTGTCAGCTTGTATTCTCCATTTGTAAGTGGTACCTCCATCCATCCCACTGCCCAAGTTGCAAACATAAGATAAATTTTTGATGCCTTTTTTTCTCTCGTCTCCTAAATCCAACAGATCAAAATTTTTAATTGATTTTACCTCTAAAATATTTCTTTGATTTAATTACTTTTCCCCATCCTCCTCTTCATCGCTCTAGTCCAGAGACAGCAAACTTCTTCTCTAAGGGGCCAGATAGTAAACATTTGAGGCTTTCGGGCCTACATATGGGCTTTGTTACATGCTTATCTTCCTTTTGTTGTTGGTTTTACAAGCCTTTAAAAGTGAAAAACCATTCTTTGCTCTTGGGCCACACAGAAGCAGGCTGTGGGCTGTGGTCTGCAGACCCCTGGTCTGATCAAAGCCACCCTAACCCCTCTCCCAGACCACTGCATTACCTTCCACCCGGTCTCCCCACTTCTACTTTAGCCTGCAATTCATGTTCTAGGACCATGCACATCTGACCCTTTGTCCTCCCTGCGTAAAGTCTTACAATGCCTTCCTTACTGTTCTTAGGGAAAGTTGAAAATCCTTAGCATGGCCAACCAGGCTGTCCACAGCTGGCTTCTTCCTCCATCTCTCGCCTCATTAATCATCACTTGCCCTCTTCCTTGACTGTGACATTTTCACTCTTGCTTCCTGGCCTTTATACGTGACATTTCTTTCGCCTGGAACATGCTACCTCTTCTATTCCTTTGCCTATTGACTTCTACTATCCTTTCTGACCTCAACATAACCATCATATTATTAGTTAGGTTCTCTTTATTGCATATTCCCACTGAGTCCTTATCTTACATTGAACTCCCCAGAAGCAGATCCTGGATGAGGAGTCATGAGCAAGTGCTCACAGGAGAAACCACAAAGAAGTTTGGGGCTGTGGGGAAGGGTAGGGAAGCCCAGTGTGTTTGTCCAGATCCTCTGAGGAACAGATACCAAGATGAGGTTGAATGATTGAGGGTTTTATTAGGGAAATGCCTATATGATGAAATGGGCAGGGGGGAGTCAGAACAGACTGGGATGCAGGTCTGACCCCAAGTGAACGAGGAATGGAAGGAAGGTTGGTAGGAGAGTCTTAGACTGCTGTCTAGTCTAAGGAAAATTCGCTGAGACTGCCAGATAGTCCTTGAGCCAAAGTCACCTGTCAGAGGAGTCCCGTGTCTCCCACTCTGTGTCCCTTCACTCTCAGTCATTGGCTGGGAGCAACCATGGAGGAGTGTGGCCTCTGCACAAACTCAATGATGGATTTCAGAGGCAGAAGCGGGACCATCAGTCAATTATGCTCTTTATAGTTGGATGTCTGTGAGGTGCGTTCTCATGGCTATGACATCCAGTAAGGGAACACTTTCATCGAAGGCCCAGCCTCAGCCTGACCAGTGGAACTCTGGTGTCAGTTATGCCTCTGACTTTGTTTCCGTGGAAGGTAAGTGAGTTCAGCTTTCAGACTGTTCTGTCAGTCATTGGGTAAGGGCACTTGAACTCCTAGGCAACTCCCACTTTCTGTGCTTGCTGCCAAGTCTGCTCCAATATCCTGAAGGCAGGCCACCAAAGGGTGGGTAAGGTGCAAGCAATTAGAAGTGAAGGCACTCAGAAGCTGGGGGAGGAGCTCACAGAAACAGTAAAAGGGATTCAGGAGAATCTTGCCCGAGCACCAATGGTTTCAACTACAGCCCTGTTCTTCCCTTCCTTCTCAATACCCTTGTAATGGTCTGTTACTTAATGTCTGCATTTTACAGCAGATTATCATCTCTGTGAGGTCAGGGGCTATGTCTATCTTATTCCCTGAACCTAGCATGGTGCCTGGAACTAGTAAAAATGAATTAACTGTTTGTTGAATTCTCCATAGAAATGATCGGAAATCTATTCTGCTTACAGGAACCAAATTAAATAATTTTGCCATTAATAGGAAGATGAATAAATTTAAAGAGCCATACATGAACAAATTCGCCCTCAGCCTTATATATGTCCCTCTAATCCTTGTGTTAATAAGCTTCCTCATGCCTTTTTATTCCCAAGTGCTGGTAATATCATTTAGAGCGCAGGTAATGCAGCTGAAGCTTTATTCCACTTACCATGTTCTCACTGCTTCTAGCATGCTCTTAAGGCAATCAACAATAATAGAAGCCGTCACTTCCTGTATTTCCGTCTATGGCCACAATAGTTGATTCTCTAATACTAATGTGCTAAAGGAACTGACCTAAAGGAATCACTGATCTCATTTGTTCTCCACCCCTTCAAATGTTCTTGGCTGGTGGGTCAGTTCACGTGGTGAAAGCATAGTTGCTTCTAGAGTCATTGCTTCATTTCTTCTGATAGTCAGTTTGAAATGAAATGAAAAGAGAAAGTGGGCTTATGAATCAAATGACTTCCCTTCAAGTGCCTATTCTGTCACTTGATATGTGTGTGATTTCGGACAAATCACTTAACCTCCTTGTGGTAGACTTTGTTATTGTTCAAAACTATTTGCCGCCCCTCCTAGGGGGAAGTTTATACTCACCTGCCCCTTTGACATCAAGCTTGGCTACGTGATTTGTTTTGGCCGATGAAACGTAAACAGAACTAATGTGCGTCACTTCTAAGTAGAAGCTTTCTAAGATAGGGTATAATTCACTATGTTTTCTTCTTTCTCTCTACTGTGAATAACGGCAATATCCCAGACAGAGGCTGTTCCAAGCCAAGACAACAGCCTGTAGTCCTGGAGTCAGGATAACAGTGAGCACAGCCACACTTGGTGTAAAAGGACATGTAGCATGAGCAAGAAATCAGTCTGAGTTCTTTCAAGTGCATTTGGATTTGAGAGGCTGTGTGTTACTGCAGCTTAATTTATCTTGACTGATACACATCTTATTTCTTAGTTTACTCACCTGCAAAATGTATGTTACAATAATTCTTACTCCACAGGATCACAGATTTTGTTCATTCAACAACTCTTTAACTTGAGCTTGTTAAATGTAAAACACCTACTAGATACTAGTAGGTTCTGCAAGGATGAAATAGGGTCAGTCTCTTATCATCAATGAGTTCATAGGACAATAAAAGAAAGAACATACACATACCATATATAAATTAGAATTTATGATAGAAAGTGCTCAATGCCTTGATAGGTAGTGATGAAAGTACTTTGGGAAATTGAAAGAAAGAGATCCCTTTTAATTGCAAGCTCAAGAAGCTCTTCCTGAAGGAGTATTGAGTTTGAAGATTGGGTAGCTAAAAGGAAGGAGGCTTTTCCTAGACAAAAATAACTTAGGTGTAAGGAAGCATGGACCACTTCAAGGAAAATATATTAGAGTGTTTGTGAAGGGATTGAAAATTAATGTAGAAAAGGTTCTTGGAAGTCACGTTTTGGGTAGTCTTGGCTAAGAAATTTGAACTTTATTTTATTGAAAGTTAGTAGCATTAACTTTTCGAGGCAGGATATGACTGTTGTTTGTTAAATGAATTAGAGAGAGAAGGGTTAATATGGAAGTCCATTGAGCATATTATTGCTGTATTGTAGGTTAGCGGTCAGCACATTTTTTTCTGTAAAAGGCCAGATAGTAAATATTTTAGCTTCTGTGAGCCACACAGTCTATATTGCAACTTTTCAACTCTGCCACCAGAGTATGAAAGCAGACACAGAAGAAAAAATAAATAGATGGGCACAGCTGTGTTCCAATAAAATCGTAGGGCTTCCATGGGTGTCCCAAGGGGATGGAAAGCTCGCCTTCCCTCCCTCCACCTGCTTCCTGTCACTGTGCTCGAAACACTAACGTTCTGCCTAAAGACTTCATTGGAGACAGGAACACTCCAACTTACAAAATAAATGATGTTTGCTCCAGGGGACAGGCTAGCAGGGTCTAAACTAGAGCAACAAGGCATGGAGAGGAAGAACAGAGTGAAAAACATGATAGCAGTGGATTGATGGGAATAAAGAACACTGAGGGCGGAGTAGCTTTGAGAGGGGAAAATTATTTCAATTTTGGACATATTGAGTTTGAAGTGAAAGGCAAATGAGATAATGTAGGAAAAAGTGCTTCACAAACTGTGAAGTGTTATAGAAAAGGAAGGGTTATTTTAAGAGGAAATGGCTGAGACCATTTTATGACTCAACACAAGCCTGTCAACATGCCTGCAAAAACAATCAAAGTACATGAACTATATATGGCGGGACTGCCCTATCATGTTTCTAGGTCACCAGCTCGGTGTTATGATACAATTTAAATAATTGTTATTTCCTTTGAAATGAGGGGTAGCTGTACCTGTAGATTGATATAGGTGAACATATCTACCTGTTTACACAGGAGCCTGGGTCAGAACCCCCAGGGGAGTTGCAAAGCTGCTTCCCTGAAGATCCTTAACTGGGCAACACCGAGCTCAGAAGCAGGGGTTGTACTCCTTGGATGGGTTCTCTTTATAAGATTTCATTGCAGTGTCTCTTTAAAACTTGACCTTTGTAGAAACAGATGCAATTACTTCATTGTCACATCAAATGATTAATTCTAAGTCAAAAACCATGTAGCTTTTAAAATAAGATTTATCCTCAGAAGAATTCATCTTGGCAGGAGCTACCACATGAATTTACAAGACTTCTAGAATGGTCCTTTCTTCTTATCTTGCCTTCCTTAAGATTTTTTAATTGTATCAGTGCCCGTTGAAGAGTGAAGATTCAAGTCAATAAATTCAAAGTGGACATGGGAAGGTTAATTCACTGACATGATAGAGGTTGACTCCATTGTCCTGGTTCCCTGAAAGAAAGGAAGCAATGCAAACGTGCGAAATATTTGAACAAGTAATCACATGAGGAAGGAACTTCTAGTAGCTCATTGTGGCCAGGTGTCCAAGCATGACCAGCATAAAAGGCAGCGTTTCATGTGGCTTAAGAGCAAGGCTCCTGGAGCCAAATGACCTGAGCTTCATTCTTGCTCAATTATTTCCTCGCTGAGTAATGGCTGAACATGATACTTAACCTTTTTTGCCTCAGGTCCCTCATTTGTAACATGGGCAAAGAATGATACCTATCCTTTGAGGGAGTTATGAAGGTAACATTTTAATACATGTGAAGTACCCCATAGGGATTAGCTGTTACTATGAGTTACTGAGAGCAACAGAGCAGTATAAACCTAGATGATGGCACACAGGTTGAAATGAAAGAGCATGACCAAGACCCAAAACTTGGTTTCTGTGGGAGGGGCAGAGTGGAGGACGTGTTCAGTTTCAGCTATTGCATTAAGTGTGAGAAACACTGAAATATGAACCAAGAAAATGCAAAAGCCAGAATTGATGCAGAAAATAAATAAGGGACTACCATAAGGAAGATATGGCAAGTATAGAATGTGTCCAGAGGGAAAAACTGTTGATGCCAGTATTTTTTGAAGGTCTAGCTCTCTCCTCTCTCAGGGGCTCCCCCATCTTTTGTGGAGTCATAGCTTTCTAAGGCTTGCTTCTGAAAGCAGCTTAATTTCCTTCTTTGAGCTGGATGATATATTTCAGTGTGCCATCTGTGCATGCTTAAAGAGAAAGTGAAAAAAAGAAAGAGGGACTTTGAGGAGGAAAAGAACTTAGACAGTCAATCTAACCCTTTAATTTTATCCGCCAAAACTAAATAGAACCCAGATCTCCTGCTTTTTAGCCAGGCATTACTATTTCTCATTGTTATGGATCTTATTGTTGTTATTTTCCATTAGAGGTTTCAAAAATCCTTCTTGTGTAATGAAAATACAATTCACAAGCATCATTAAATCTATGGTATCTGGCTACTAAAAACGTTAAACCAGTTTTATAACGGAGATTCTAGAGACAGTTACATGTAAAAGGGTGCTACACCTCAAATGAGCTGCCAAGGGAGGGTGACGCCCACTCAGGTGGTGCCACCGCTGCTAAAAATGCCCCAAGCCAATCAGTATCGGGAACCTACTAGGAGCTCAACATTGTGCAAAAGCAGCATAAAACACTTACAGAATTCACAGGTTTGTTCCAACGGTGAGGCCTAAAAACCTAAACCTTGTTTACATTGGCAGAGATTGCGAGTGCCTGAAAGAAAGTTGACCTTTAACTGGAATGTTCAGGGTAGGCTTATGGAAGGGAAAGTTCTTAAGCTGGGCCTTCACGGATCTGTCAATGCTTTGGAAGCTGGTGGGGCGGTGTGAGGGACACAACAGGTCAAGTTATGTGTGCCTTGCTCAAGTCACCGTTCGTTTTCCATTCCCTCTTTTCAGTGTCTTGTTCTGTTACTCCACCATCTGCTTGCCCGGATTGGGATCAACATGTTGCTTCCTGGCTGTCTCTTACCTACTTCTCCATCCCACTGTGGAATCATCCCTGAACCGTTCCTGTGCTGGGGAACCTTCATCAGCATTTTCCTGGCGTTTTGATCCCTGCCTTACTCTTAAGATGCAAATGCTGAGGGAACAACACCAGGGCAGTGACAGAGGTTAAATGGAGTCGGGGGTCTCACAACGCACTACATAAGCCACACCAAACTCAGCGTATTTGCAAGTTCACATTTGCCAGGATCTCATGCTTCCCCCGCCTGCTCTCCCAGCACCCATGATCATCTCTATTTTTGACTGTTTGGCATTTTGCTGAAATTAATGGTTTAGTGACTTTCCCCACCACCAGAACAAAAGTTCTTCAGTGGGTCAGGGATGGGATCTTCTTCACCTCTCTGGTGCAGGCCCCCACCATTCCTTCTCTAGACAATTTTTATAGTTCCCTATACAACTTCTTGATCCCCTGAAGTCTATTTTCCATAAAACAAAGAGAACTTTGAAATGTAAGTCACAAAATGGACATGCCACTCCCTTACATTGTAGGTGAAATAAAGTTCAACCCCTTACCAGGACTCCTGTCAAACTCCTTAAACTTATTTCATCCTATTCCTGCTTCTACTCACTATATTCTAGCCACTATGGTTTTCTATGCATCAAACTTCTTCTGGCCTCAGGGCCTGTGCACATGCTTTCTTCTGCCTACAATTCTGCCTCATTATTTGCATAACTAGCACCTTTTCCATCTTTTTGGTCTTAGTTTAAATATTGCCTGCCTAGAGGAGCCTTGCTCCATTGTAAAGTAGGACTCCTTACCCTGTTATTTCCTAAGTCCTCCATGGTTCTGGTTTTTTCCTTAAAAACACTTACCACAATTTATAATTCTTTTATTTATTGGCCTATATGCTTGATTTTTGTTGTCCTTCTCCCCACCAGAATGTAAGATCAAAGAGTGCAGGAGCTGGGTCTGTCCTTAGTGCCCAGCACAGTGCCTGGCACACGGAGGCTGTCAGTATGTCTTTGTTAGCTTCATGTCTCCACAGTGAGCACCTTTTCAGACACACAGGAAATGCTCCACTTGAATGCTGACATAAACCTTACTGGCAAAGGTAACACAGTCAGATTTGAAGAGGAGTTAAATAGAGGTCAGATTTAAGCATCATGCTGGGAGAGTACAAAAGAGGTAGCAATTGATTAGGATTGCAGGCAGAGGAAGAGTTTGATAGGCAGGGAATTGTGAAGACATTCCAGGGTGATGATGGCACAGCGTCAGACTAGGCACAGATGTGTGGGGAACGCTCAGTAGTCTGGGATGATTGTAGGGTAGAATATGATGATATGATGAAGAATAGAGTGCAAGGGGAGGAGGAAATTATGCTTCAGTCAAATTATGAAAGTAGTGGAGTGTCTTGCTAAGGAGTTTAAATTTTCATTTGAGGGCAAGTGGGACCCCAGGGTTGATTTTTAAAGAGATAAACAAAGATCATGATGCTAATCAATATAAAATTTTGTAATGTATTCCTAATGAAGGTTACAAGTTTTGAATTTCCCAAGTGTTCCTGATAACTTCTGCCTTCATTGTATCATAGAATTTTAGCATTCATTCAACAAATACTACTGAGCACCTGCTATGAGATAATTTATTATGACCCCATTTTACACATAAGAAGCTAGAAGTCAGAAAGATTACCTTGCTTGCAAGACGCCCCAGCCAGTGCGTGCAGGAGCTAGAACTGGAATCCAAGTCTGCCCGACCGCAAAGATCAAGCACGTTCCATGACACCACGTCACCTCCTTCCACCAGCACAATGTAAATGAGCTCTTATGAAACTGCTGTTTCTATCTTGGGCTAAGCTCTGCAGAAAAAAGATTAAATCTTTGGGATAGGGATATTTTGGTTCTTCCGTTACTTCTTGGGAAAGAAAGATTTTTCCCTCCAGCTAATTAAGGATGATATTGTCTACGGGAAATCACGTGAGGTATCACCTGGTAGAGTCAAACCTCAGGGTGAGGGGCTCTGATTTACCGCTATGCCCACAACGGTTGGTGCAGAAAGGAAGACACATTTCCCAAAAGTAAGGCACACTGGGAAAGTCCCTGTTCATCTTCCTGGTATACGGCATCCTCCAGCTGGGTATGTTTGCTTTTCAGCTTGAAAAATCAATAACCGTGAACTCTCATTGACGTCCAGGCCATTGTAGTAAACAATAAAGAGGAAGGGAGGCTTCCAATAGCCGAGGGGAAACTGTTGTTTGAGATGGCATGAATGTGCCCAAGGCTGAGCCTTAGCCTGTATCCTGCCCTAGTGGAGGGAGGTGCCCCTTTTTAACCGGTAGAAGGAAAGAATCCAATGCCTGCCACAATAGCTTTTTCCTCGTATGAGATGAGGCAAGGGCTTAAGCAATGTTTTCTTTTGTTCTCCCTGAGAGAAGGGTAGGGAAACTAGAAATTTACCTGGAGACCACACACAGCTCACATCCTGCTGTGTGGCTTAATGTCCCCCAGTACGAAATAGTTCTTCTAAAGTCTTGTTGTCAACAATACCTTCCAGGTGTTCAGCGCTGTGCAGTCTAAGGAGCTCTATTTTGAGGAATATTAGCCCTGAGCTAACATCCGTGCCCATCTTCTTCTACTTTATATGTGGGACACCTACCACAGCATGGCTTGACAAGCACTGCATAGGTCTGCACCCAAGATCCGAACCGGCGAACCCCAGGTTGCTGAAGCAGAACGTGCAAACTTAACCGCTGTGCCACTGGGTTGGCCTGTAAGGAGCTCTTTTTTACTTATTACCTCATTTGATTCTCACAACAATCTTGTGCCGTATTGTTTTTATTTTTTTATTTATTTTATTTTTTATTTTTCTTTCTTTTGCTGAGGAAGATTAGCCCCGAGCTAACATCTGTGCCAATCTTCATCCACTTTATATGTGGGTTGCCACCACAGCATGGTTGACAAGAGGGCGAGGTCCATGCCTGGGATCCAAATCCGTGAACTCGGGCCGCCAAAGCAGAACATGCTGAACTTAACCACTACACCATGGGGCCAGCCTTGCAGTATTATTTTTTATCATTGTCATGTTTCACATGGACTATTGCAACAGCCTTCAAATATTTTGCCAGTTTCTCTCTCCTCCAATCTATTCCCCCGTGGTGACTCCCAAGTTCTACTTCTAGAATACTAATCTGATCTGCTTAAATACCTTGGCTAGCCTCCCAACAACTAGAGGGTAAAATCTGACCTTCAGGATGACAAGAAGCAGCTTTTGGGTCTCAGAGTACCATTCGGCCTCACTTCTCTCTTCCTTTCCCCAAAGCTATAATCACACTCAACATCTCTATGGCATCCAAACAGTACACTTTCTTTCATCCTTTATAGTTATGATAGCATAGAGGTAAATGGCAGAAACCCTGGAGTTAGACTGAGCTGGCCTCCCATCACCACCACTAAATAGATATATAAGCTCAAGCAATTTACTTAAACCCTCTATGTCTTATCTGTAAAATGGGGATCATTGTAGGACCTTGTATTGTAGGATGAATTGTAAGGAATAAGTGAGTTAAGTAATATAAAGGTCTTAAAGCAGTGCCTTGCAAACTTAGTGCCCAATAAAATTAGCTATTATAATTGTGCCCACTATTGTAATGCTCTTCTCTTCTTTGTATGTCTCTATTCATCCTTTAACAGTCTCCGTTGTGAAAACAACTCCAAATTCCAAAGGTTGCATTCTCTATCCTTTGTGCTTTCCTAAAATTTTGTGTAAACAAGTTTATAATAATGACACTCAACGTAGTGTTTTCCAGGTATTTGAAGGTCTTCCCTATGATAGTGTGAGCTCCTAAAAAGCACAGACCATTTCTGACTCATGTTTAGGTTACCAGAGTTCAGCAGAATGTCTAGTACATAGAATCTAATAAATATTTGTGGAAGTAAATATTCACTTTGCACTGTAGAAACTCATGAGCCAGGATTTAAACTGCTAATTCTGCTAAGTACTCTACCTGCTCCCGTGCTCCCCCTCAGTCCATTCTCCCACTATAGCCAGGACAATCAAATCACGCTCCTTGTCTGCTTCAATCTCTTCAGTAGATTTCCACTGCATGGAGATTAGGTCCAGCCTCTGGACTGCGGCCTACAAGTCCTTGCAGGATCTAGTCTCTTGTCTTTCCATGTCTGTTTCATGCTACTCTCCCTTTGTTCTCAATTCTCTAGCCACGCTGGACCCCTTTTGTTCTTTTCCAATTTAGATAAAGAACATTTTTACTTGTTCTTACCTCTCTACATTCATACCATCTCTCTTTGAAATACTATTTCCTAAGCTTCTCTCAATGCTCATCCTTCTCACCCATGAAATCCCCTTTCAGACACCACCTCTTCTAAGAGGTCCTCCTGATCACCTTGGCTAAATGAGCCCTTTGCCCTCCAGTTACATTCTACCACACCACTTGCCTATTTTCTTCATGGCATGGGTCAAAATCTGGAAGTATTTATTTATTTTCTGACTCCTTCCACTGGGATGAAAACCTTCCTAGGGAGGGGACCTTGTCTGCTTGTTCACCACACTAACTGCAGCTCTTCGAACAGTACCTGTCACAGAGTAGCACTCAAAAGATATGTCTTATGTAAATGAATAAATAAAAATTAGATCTTTTGAGAATAAAGCTCTTCCACATAACTAGAATCATCCGGGAATGACAAATCATAGAATAATAGAATTTAATGCTTTGTGTGTATCAGAGAAAGAGGGTGGGGAATTGTCAAGGTATCATGATGTACCGTCTTCGCCTCCTCAAATACAATGAGCGAGTCCCATAGTGAAAAAGAAGTTACCTTCTCAAAAGCTTTCCAAACATTCTTTAAAGTATTCAAACTCCTCAGAAAGCAAGAAATCATAAAGAAGTAAACAAAGATGAAATGCCTTGACAGATTAATGGGCTAGCTGCAAAGTTAAAAAGACTTGGTTTTAATTGAGAGCCAAAGCAGTGAGTTCTGCATCAGCTCCCACTGTCTTAGAGCAAGAGAACATCAGGCAGTGAATCCTCCTTGAATGAGATGTATAAAATTAATACTGTATTTTGTTATCTACTGTGTATAATCTAACAATAAAAAAATATTTACCTAGCACTTTACAGTTTAGAAATACCTCTGTTTACATAGTTTATCTCATTTGATAAAGCGGTTGAGTGATAGGGTAGCATAGTAGGAAATCCATATGACTTACTGTCAAGAAATCAGCTCTATTAGGAAGAAGCTGTGACCTTGACACATCACTTTTCCTCTCTATTTCCTTTGTGGTAAAACGAAGGTGTTAGTCTAGATTGTCTTAAATCCCATTCAGGTCATCTATTGGAGCTATTTATATTTAACTCCTGACAGCTCAGGCTTCTCTTTGATCTAGGTCCAAGATAGAAAGTTCTTATCGGGTCTTCATTCATGTTCTTAAAATCAACTTATTTGAGTGATCACTCTCTTGGCTGCCCAGGTAGGCAGAGAAGGCCCCGGTTCATCTTTGGGTGACCTTCTCTCTCTTTTAATGTCTCCCTTTGATGCCAGTTCTGACTGGTTCATCTCCCTGGGTCTACCTTCCTTGGCCTCCGTCATTTTGCATTACTCTGTAGCCCTTTCCACACCACCACCAAGGACGACTGCCAGGTTCACAAAGAAATTTATTTGTTCTATGTTATACCTCAAGGAAAATCTACCCAGTAGATAATCGAATACATTTTTTTCCTATTTCAAAGGGAGAAGGCCAGATATTTTTTCCTACGATTTAAGTGCATCTTCTGGAGATTATGACACTTCCACCCTGTTATATTTCTCTGTCATCTCCTTGCTCTAGCTATGGACAGGGGCAAATGGTGGGCGGGAATTGTCGGATGTTCAGGGTCACGTATGCGGTAGGGGTATTGCTCCTTACAACTTTCCTTTCTATATTCTCAGGCACCTTTGCATCTCCCTGGAATCAATTTATTTTCATCTTCTCCACCTAAACCATTTGATGCCTCTGCTTCTTAGATGTAAAGCATAGCTCACTATATCCTGTGATCAGGAATCTGTCTACTTGCAAAATGAAAGCTGTTCAGTCTGACATGGAAATTAATTTCCTCCTTCCACTTACAGCTTTCCTACATGGAGAAGACCTCTCTATAACTCTGGTATGGGTATTTGAGCTATGACTGCAAGATGGGAAACACCTGCGTGATCCTTTGAAGTATTCAGCCCATCATATTGTGTGCAAAAGATACTAATCATCCAGGTGTTCAGAAGCACCTGTAGGGCTGGATATTCTTAGGTCCTGAACCCTGGTAAGATGCAAGGCAGACGACGTATGTTTTTTCTTTCTCGATACTTTGAAATACCAGTTTGGAGACCTGGAACTACGAAAGACATAATAAGATATAAGTCCATTTGCAGATAAGAATGGATGCCTGTATGTGTTCATTTACTCTGTCCTCTGGTCTTCAAGCTGCTGTTTTGCAGCTTTTTGCAGGAAGCATGCATGTACAAGAGAGATTGTCAGTACTGGGCTGAATTCTGTTCTTAGTAAGATTCCTGGAAAGATAGTCCACGGTCAGGCTGATTACAGATGAAGCTAATCTATCTTCCCTAGGCTAGTTTTCTGTGCTGCCAGTCATATAACTGTCTGCCATCCAGCTATTCCTCCCCACATCCCCGTTTGAATGTGACACCTGTGGAGGCAACTTCTGCAAATCCTTGCCTTTAAACGATGATCCTGCCAGCTCCCTTTTGGAAGTAGTGAGGAAGAAACTTTGAACCATGCTAGGATATGCTATTTCCAATCCAAATGAGAAAGTGCCTTGAGAGCCAGCCCCACGAACTGCTGCTGGCACCTTTCCTTCCAAGAGGCAACTTTCCTTGCAATTGATCTTACAGCTAAATGAATAAACCTCATGCTTTGTAGCATTGTAAAGTCTTTTTTTTTTTCCTTTTCTAGAAATTCAAAACCTCAGACATCGGTAGAGACATTGAGCAAATTTTTATTTTCTGCACGTCTGTTTAGCGAGAGGATTTTCTCCGGC